AAAGTTTTAAAAACTTGTATCACGGAGACTTGAATGAAATTTGGAAAGTATTTACTAGTTGGAATCAAAATCAAATTTCTAGATAATGTTGTTATGACCCTACTCTACTTTTAAGTCTTCTCTTCCGAAACATGACATAATCACATAATTATTTGAATCCTAACACATTACAAGTTATTAAAACAAATACTTTAACCCATTCCTAATTATTTTGACTAATATATTAAATTTTCTATGTTCTAACCCTAATCCTACGAATCTAAAAGGGGTCATGGTCCAAAAACATATTCTCTTTAGATTTATTTAAAAAATTTTATTATGATTCTCCTTGAAAAAAAAATCTATGTATATTATCTCCTAACACTAATTTTCTAACTCTCTCTGTCTAACCTTAATCCAATTTATAACAATTAAAACTTATTCAACTAGTAGCCTACTTATCTATTTTTCATACACAATTAATTACTAATATTTTTCTTATTTAATTTTGTCAATAATACTATCTAATTCAAATAATCCATATTTATAGTGGTTAAATTTCTGGAAAAATTATTTATTCAATTCTTTCTTACCTTTATATTTTAACATATAAATAAGATAATTTATTAATATAAAAATTTACTTTAAGTTTATAATTGTTTTCCATTATTTGAGATTAAAATGATTTTAATATTACAAAAAGATTTTAATATAAATGTAACATAATTTTAATAAACTATTATAAATTTAGATAAATGTGCCCTTTAATTTGTTATTTAATATTTTAATTTGTTTTAATTAGATAATAAAAATGAATTATTTGATTTTGTACTTATTAATAATTATTTACGAAGGTTGTGGTTTTTATTTTTTGATAAAGAGAAACATGTTAGACTTTTTTTAAGTTATTAATTTAATTATATTTTAAGATTATTTTCTATTACATAATAAGATATAATATACATGTTTATATATTTATATGTATAAATATATGATTATTTTTTATTACATATTACATGGTTAAATGTTTATATATTTATATATATAAATTTATATGAAATTTATAAGTATACATTATTATCATGAGAACTAATTATTAAAGTTGTCAAATATTTTTATATGAAAGTGGATGATTTATCAAAATAATATTTGTTTTTTAGTTTCACACTTTTATTTATTTAAGTTGATAAATTTAGATGTATTATAAGAAAGTGAGAACAAATATCATGTAAAATAATATTAATTTAAAATAATATATAAAATCAACTTTTCAATTTCATCAAAATACTCTAGTTATTTTATATTATGAAGATTTGAATTGATTTTTAGTGACGAGTTAAAATAGACAAGTCTAAAATTAATCTCTCTTTAGTGATATTTACTCATTTTAGTCCTCAAGGTTTAATCTTTAACTACATTAAATCTTTATAAATAAAATATTAATTCTAAACAAAATTAAAAAAATTTAATAATATAAATATAAAGTAATAAAAGAGAACGTATAACTAAAAATAAACAAATAAATAAAGATGACGAGTGTGTAAACTAAAAATAAATAAATAAAAAATAGAAACAGTACATAATTAAAAGTAAATAAATATAAAATATGATCAATATATAATTGAATATAAATAAATAAATAAATATAGAATTGGACTAATGGGTAACTTGATATAAATATATAAATACAAAAGAGAATAAGTGAGTAACTAGTCAACTTTTCAATTTCATAAACATATTTCATTTATCTTACATTATAGAATTGATTTTGAATAATTAGTTAAGATAAATAAATATAAAATTAATTACTCTTTAATGATATTTATTTATCTTAATTCTTATAATTTATCTTCCAATTACAATATCATGAAATCTTTATAAATAAAATGTTATTTTTTAAGAAAATTTAAAAAACAAAAAAGAAAAATGACTTGAGATAAAGTAAATAATATAAATAAATAAATAAATAAAGATGACTAGTGTGTAACTATAAATAAATTAATAAATATAAAATATAAATAGTATTCATGCATAATTTTTTGTTCTCTTTCTCTCTCATTTTCTCTTTTTTTTTCTTTTAAATCACTCCTGAATAACTTCTTTTATATTTGTTTTTCAATTTTTTAAATTTTATTTTAATTATACATTAAATATATGTAATTGTAGTCTTAAGATTAAAAAAAAAAACTTACATATGGTCAGAAGAGAATAAGAATTAGGGCAATTTATTTTTTTAACTATATAAAACTTGTACCATCCATCCCCTTACATAGGCTTATGTCTAATAAGTCATCTAACTTTGTTTATAGGGTCCGTCTAAAAAAATACAACAGTGTCAAAATCAATATTGTATTTAATTAATTGGATATTGCCAAGAAATAAAAAACAATGAATCCAACATCAATACTTACTACCATCATCACCATGTGACAACTTTATGCAATAATTCAGACCAATAAGTATCGTCATTCATATTATTTACCTGAAACGAATTAATATGATATGACCAAAATATTTTCATAGAAAATATTACATGAATATCATGTTTTCTTTCTTAACGTCTACATTAACCATTAGCGTATGCATTTGTATTTGTTGGGAAGAATGTGACGTGCCACACACCATTAATGTTTTTACAAAAAAATTAGCATATATTATAATATAATAATAATTAATCCTCAAATTGGTAATCCACAAATACAATATTTTTAATCGGGATAAAAAAAAAAGACCTTAATCAAAATTTAAATCAAACGAACAATCAACAATAATGTCAAAAAATATAACCTTAAAAAACTGTAATATGATTAGATGTTGAAATGGGTTGAACAATTTTTCTTATCGAAATTAATCTAAACTTTTTCAGCTCTAATACATTTAGGATTTAGGATTTGACTTTCCAAATATAAATTTAGAATGTTTCATAATAAAATACATTATAAAAAATAATGTGTAAATAGAATCTAGAACATAATAAATTTTAATATATTTTGTTATCAAACAAACTTAACGTGACTTAAATGAAAGAAGTAAAGAAAAAACTTATTTTAGGGTCTATGACTTTTTGAACGACCACATATTTCAATACAAAATAAATTATAAAAAAAATAATATTATTTTATATATTTACTACATTATGCCACTCAGTATCATAACAATGTTAAGTTAATTAGATAATTTGTATGATATATATATATATATATATATATATATATATATATATATATATATATATATATATATATATATATATATATATGCAGGAATTCTCTTGTATTAGTTTTTTAAGATTGTTATAAATACCACTCTATATATTTAAACTTTTCACAATTCACCGTATTCCCTGAATTATAATGAAAACTTTATTTGAGTTCAACATTAATTTAAAATTTTTGGATTTTTTATATTACTAACATATTATGTCTCGTTTTATACCCAAAATAATATTACTAACATATTTTAAAAAAATATTATATACGTAATTGACACTTATTTATGTTTTATATTTTTGTTTATTTAATCTTGATCCAATCTACCTAATTGAGTTAAGCTTTTTAATATAACAAAAAATTAGGCTCAATCCAATTTAATTCAATTTTTTAACAAACTAAAAGGAGTTATGTTAAATTACATGGATTCATTTTATATATTTTATTTAAAATGAAATTAAATGAACCCCATTTACCCCTCTAGCTCAAAGTGACAGATAGAGGAAACTAATACAATATTTTAATTTCTTATTATTAAATTTTAAAAATTTACATACAATTATTTCGATTGAAAAAAGATTGCACACAGATAATGTAAGCATAACAAATACTCAAAATGATATAAAATAAATAAATAAATAAAATTGATGTAAATATCAAATTACTGTCGGATAACTTTTGAAAGAAAGTGTACTTCTATGATGAATTTAAATTTAAATTTATGAAAGAAATTAATGATGTATAATTTAGAAATGTCTTTCTACATTTATGATTTGGTAAAAGAAAGTGAATTTTTTTATGAAAAAGTAAAATTGAAAGTATTTATGACGCGTGTGTATTATTATCCTCGTGTTTCTGGTTAAAATTAATAAGATTTCTTTTATTAAAATTTAATTAAAAATATATTTACATCATACTAAAAGTATATTAACAATATTTTCTTGTAAAAATATTTATATTTCTTTAATTTGTTTCAATTAATATTAATTTATCTATCTGAATACTTGCTTTTGAACATCTCAATACTAAAAATATTCTATCAACAATCAATTTTTTTAATTATCTTATCTTATTATATTATATTATATACTACTTTTCATAGGGATATTCATTCATAATTTCCCTGTTATATATGTAAAATTATTACAAATAAATTGTTGAAAGATAATAAAGAAGAACCATGTGGACCATATTTGAATCATAATTCCAACATCATATTGTTCTTTCAAAAATATAAGTTTTACGCCATAATAATTAAATAATCATAAATAGTTAAAAATTACAAATCTATAAGTAATTTTTCTGACGGATTGTTTATATTGATCAGTGATGTATTGACTTTTTATCATTTCTTAATTTTATTTCCAGAATATTAAAAACAAAAAAATCGACATTTATCCATCAATATATGTTGCATATTTTTATTATTAATATTAAGCAAGTTAAAAACACCTTAGTTTTTATTAATGATAAAATAAATTTAAAGTGACAAGATTTTAAAAATTAAAAACTGTGAAAATTAATAAAAAGATAAAAATCACGTATAAATTGAAATATAGTAAACTAAAAATAGTTAAGCTAAAAAAGTTATAAAAATTATAGATCATTCTTATTGAATTTATATAACCTTCGTTATTACTCAAAAGAGAGTACCAACTGGACCCCAATTTTTTTTTCTTTTTGTTGAGTTAGGAACTTATGGAACTTTAATTACGTGGCCATGTCTAATCTCCTCAACTTTTTAATTATTCATTAGACGACATGATGAAGAAGGTTTTCTCTTCTCAAGGCCCTTTAATTGGAACTTTTGACTTGTTTGATAGTGGATTCAGAGGGACCAAAAGAATCTTCAAACTTTCCATCGTAATCAAGCTTTGAAACTTGTTCATAACCCCATCTTCAAGTTAACCATGAAAACAATGTAACAAGATTCATGTTTTCCACTCATAATCTCACACGACAGGAGGTGACTATCCACTAATTAAAAAATATCTTATCAATTAATTAAAAATGGCTATTAGTTTTATTGGTTCTGTCGTACGTGCTAATCTATAATTGGATGACACTATAAAAACTTTAGTCTATAAATTTATTTAAAGTATATTAATATATAAAAGTGATATATATATTTAATTCATTATCCATTTAATAACAAATGGTCATATAGTGTACTGATTCATTAATTTCTTTATTTATTTATTTTTATTTTAAAGATGGGTTGGATTTATACTTTGAACCATGATGCAAAGAATTCATTAACATGAAGCCTAGCAATATATATATTACTCGAGATTATTTTTAAATTATAATCAATTTCCATAATTTAAACAATATACATCATCGAAAAAATATATCATTCTTTTAGGTAAGAATTTTATACTAATAATGTAAAATTCTAATATTTTAAAGAATTATATATATAATTTAAAATATTTAAAAGAAAAAGATAATTATGTAATAGCAGAAATAAAGGAAAAATACATCTATTTTAAAAAGTATATTAAAATAACCCTTACGTAATCTTATTTATAAAGTTCAAAAGATTCTAAAATTTTATGATTTTGATTAAGGAAATTAGACTTTATCATTTGAATTAATATACAATTATGTGTAGTTATTATTATTTTATAATACTCCCTTTTAAGTTCCAGTAATGAACTCAAGTTTAGATAAATTCACTTTAATTAGAGTTGGAGATAAGATTTCAGTGAAAAACTCAATAAATTTACCAGAGAAGATACATGGAGAATATATATTTCATAAATGTCAAATCTTCATATTTTTTACCTTAACACTTATTATATGTAATTATTTTGAATTTAACTATTAAAGCGTCCAATAACCACTAATTATGTATATTTTGACTTTTAAAGAGTTATCATGTAAGTTAATGCAAGTTTTTGTCAATTGTAGGAAAATTCAAGAGATTTCAATACTACATGGGGAGTTCGTTGAACGATTTTAGAAGAGAGTGAGAAGGAGTCACTACCTTCAATCTGTCGAGTGAATTTGAGGCAGTAAGGATCATTCCCAGGGTGAGCAAAAGCGCTAAGCGATTTTGGGATGCGCCGAACAACAAGGTAATCCGCTGACCAGATTGCGGCAGAAAGATGACTTTCCATAAGGATAAAAGCGTTGAGCAAATATGAAGTACTGACTAAATCACAGTACTTTAGGGTGAAGAAATCTCAATCCGCCGAGCGAATTTCATATCGCTAAACGGATGAATACAAATGTTACGAGCTCCCTTAGGTATAAATAGAAAGGTTGAAGAAGAAAAAAAGGAGAATGAATATAAGGACAAAAAGAAAAGTGTGAAATTTGAGAGCTAGACTCTGGAACAGAAGCTGGATAAACTAGAGTTGATTTCCTTATATAATAGGGTTCTTCTTCTCCTCACCATATGTTTCTAGTTTCTCTTTTGTTGGATTGGGTGTAACATGTACTATTGTGTAACTCTATTGCTATATATATATGAATTCCTTTCTCCAATTATTAATCTGATTTTGTTATCAATGCTTGAATTTAGAGAAATCTAGTTTTCTAATTTTAGAAATAGATTTACATTGGAAAATGACTTCTGTTTCTTACTTGGATTAAATCAAACTTTAAGTTTAAACTGGTGGGAACATAGTTAAGATTATTCTTGTGAAAAAGGTTATGTGTTTAATACAAGTTTCTTAATCAACTTTTCAAGAAATTGGTTAATTGTTTAGGACTTTTAGAACTCTATTATTAAGGGATTAAACTAGAGCGATCTCTTGAACTTTAAATTGAGATTTGAATTCATGCATATATAGACAATAGGTTGCACATAGTTTCGGTGAAATCTAATTTAACAGTTTATTTCCTTGCACTAGTACATAAATCACTTTTAACATCGGCCTTTCCACATCGGTTCTTTAAGAACCGATGTAGAAAGTCTTTTTATAAAATTAAGAGAATTGTTACTGGCAAGATTCGAACCCAGTACCTTAGAATTGAAGGCTGATACTCCAACCACTAAGCTACTAGGATTTTCTAATAATAACTTATACATAAATTATATTTATATACAAATAAAAATGTATATCCATGTAAATATATAAATATAAAATATATAAATACAAATACAAATATATTTATATGTTGGATGTGAGAGCGCGTTCGAGAGTGAAAGTGTGTGACAAGTGGGTTTTCAAAATTTGATGTTAAATTTGTGAGCGAGTCTCTTTATATGAATTTGTAATTTAATAATAGAATAAAATCTTTATAATTTATTTATAATAATATAGAATATAATCTTTATAATTAATTTATATAATGATATAAAATAAAGAAAAAAAATATTTTATATCATTATATAAATAAATTATAAAGATTATATTTTGTCATTAAGTTATAATCCATATAAAGAGACTCGCTCACAAATTTGACATCAAATTTTGAAAATTCACTCGACACACATTTTCATCCTCGAGCGCACCCTCATATCCAACATATAAATATATTTGTATTTGTATTTATATATTTTATATTTATATATTTACATGGATATACGTTTTTATTTGTATATAAATATAATTTATGTATAAGTTATTATCGAAAAATTCTAGTAGCTTAGTGGTTGGAGTATCGACCTTCAACTCTAAGGTACTGGGTTCGAATCTTGCTAGTGACAATTCTCTTAATCTGATAATAATTCAAATTCTTAAAAAATATAAATAATATAATAAATAATAAAAAATAATATAAAAGGAAGAAGAGACCTACCTATCAATAGATAGGGTAATTGGAGAGGGGTTATGAATAAATAAAAATAATATAAATAAATAAAAATATTAGACTTTCTACATCGGTTCCTTACAACCGATGTGGAAAGTCACACTTTCTACATCGGCAGTATCTACATCGGTTCTAGAACCGATGTTAAAAGCCCCTGGGAACCGATGTTAAAAGCCTATTTTGTACTAGTGTTGAGTTTTCTTATACATCAACTTTTGTATTCACCAATCCATTTTGTATAAATATCTCAAAATTTATATTTAAGGTTTTAATTGAATGAAAACTGAGATGGTGTTATATCTACCATGTCCTTGAGGATACAACAACCCTTTTTATAATTGTACTATAGTTGATGTAGTTCACTTGTCGAGGAAAATCCACTAACAAGTTTATGGTTTCGTTGTCAGGAACATTGGTCCAGATATCTAATACTTTTAAGTTTTCTTCCGTTAAAACAAAAAGTTCTTGTAAATATCTTGATTGTACAATTATATTTTTTATTGGATTTACTCTTGTGCTAAACTTCTTGACTAGTTTATTCTAGTATGTAAGGAAGAACTCCAGCCGATCAGCTACTATTTGATCCTAAAATTGAGAGGACAATTAGGAGAAATAACAACAAAACAAGAAAGAACAAGAGGATAGAACAAAAACTACAAGAGTCTACATCATCTCCAATCTTAGTTTCAAATTCTGAATCAACAAAAATGGCAGGACATGGAGATGAAGAGCATCAGAATACCAATAACCAAAGAAGGTTGTTGGGAGACTATGCACATCAGTAGGGGCTTAGGCATTTCTCAAGCATTGTTAGGCCTACACAAGGTGTTGAAATGAAGCCAACCCTAATATCACTCATTACTTTTAATTAATTTGCAGGAATATGTAACATCCTGATTCTCAATACCCCTGGTTTGTTAAATTTTGACAAAATCTTTGTCAAAATTTTAATAATTAAATTATTAGGAATTGGGTAAAGAAACTGTAGAGTTTGATGTTTGTTAGATTATTTGTGTTTTTCTAGAATTTTTAGAAAATACTTAAAATTGATCCGTTTCGCGGGCAACTGGACGCCTGATAGTAATTATATGATTTAGGGTTGAAATTGAAAGAGTATGGACTTAACAATTTTAATTGTCACATTTAGAAATTATTGTTTTCTTTTATGCATTGAGTGTGGGTACATTAAAAGTTTATTATGTGTATAAATTGACAAGAAACATATGATGGTTAATATGGTTTGGAGTGATGTTGGAATCTTAGGGGTTGTGGGTTCAAATCCTGGCTAGAGTAAAAAAGATAAAATAAAGATAAAATGTTTTGTAATGTAATCTGCTGGGCGCATCAGAAATGCGCTGAGCGGATTGCACTGAGCGGATTATGTTTGAAATCTCTATTCCATGCGGCCTGTAATCCGCTGGGCGCATTAGAAATGAGCTGAGCGCCGCTGGGCGCATTAGAAATGAGCTGAGCGGATTATGTTTGAAATCTCTATTCCATGCGTCCTGTAATCCGCTGGGCGCATCAGAAATGAGGCCGCTGGGCACATTAGAAATGCGCTGAGCGGATTATGTTTGAAATCTCTATTCCATGCGGCCTGTAATCCGTTGGGCGCATTAGAAATGAGCTGAGCGCCGCTGGGCGCATTAGAAATGAGCTGAGCGGATTATGTTTGAAATCTCTATTCCATGCGGCCTGTAATCCGCTGGGTGCATAGGAAATGCGCTGAGCGGATTATGTTTGAAATCTCTATTCCATGCGGCCTGTAATCCGCTGGGCGCATCAGAAATGAGGCCGCTGGGCGCATTAGAAATGAGCTGAGCGCCGCTGGGCGCATTAGAAATGAGCTGAGCGGATTATGTTTGAAATCTCTATTCCATGCGGCCTGTAATCCGCTGGGCGCATAGGAAATGCGTTGAGCGGATTATGTTTGAAATCTCTATTCCATGCGGCCTGTAATCCGCTGGGCGCATCAGAAATGAGCTGAGCGGATTATTCGGTGAAAAATTTGACTTTTTCTGCGAGTTTTTCTCGTAGGTTCCTCGTTTCTCTCTTTCTCTCAAAACTTTCCTTACCTTCAAGCTTGATTTTGAGAGAAAAATCTTGGTTCGGTGAAAATTTTGACTTTTAAAAGAAAGAGTGCCGTTCTGCGAGTTTTTCTCGTAGGTTCCTCGTTTCTCTCTTTCTCTCAAAACTTTCCTTACCTTCAAGCTTGATTTTGAGAGAAAAATCTTGGTTTTCTTGAGGAGCTCCAAGAGGTAAGTTTGTTTCTCTCAATCTCCTCTACATTTCTACGTTTTATTTTTCAAAACAGTGCTTTTTCTATTTTTCTCCTCACTTGGCTCAGCTTGAATGGGTGTAGGAAGAATGTTATTGTAGGTTTTACACCTAGAATACTAGAATAATGCATAAAATTGAGGATTAGAAGTTGTTAAGCTAAAAACTTTAAGAGCCCTAATTCGTAGGTACTATTCATTGAATATTTGGGACTTTTGTGAACAGAATTAGAAATTAGTATCTTCATGAAATTTGTAGCACTTTAAGTTGTCGAAATTTAGAAACTGATTTCACATTAAACGGATATTTATAGCTTAAGTTATGCCCGTTTTACTATCAAGTGTTCTAGCTGTGACGTTAAGAGGTAGCCCTGTTTCAACAGCCTAGGTTTTTGAATTACTTAGATTGATACGTGTGAAATTAGGACTTGATTCCTTCATAAAAGTTGTAGGAAATTATATCCCCGAAATTTAGAAATTTATTTCACGTGAATATATTATGTGTATCAAGAGTTATAATCCAATTACCAAGGCATGTTCAGAGTGTTATTGTAGTTGAGCCTAGTTGGAAACAATCACTGAAAACTGAAAACTGCATCTATTCTATAGGGTATTTGAATTTTATTCCTTCATCAATATTGTAGGTAATTAAGTTATTTTGGCTCAAATCTCATGCCAAAACAGCTTATATAACTCTAGAAAAGTTCGAAATATTGAACCTTGTCCATGGTTGTTATTAGGATTCTTTCTACTCTAAGTGCCTACAAAATAGGATAATTTTCTAAGTTAATTGTAAGCTGAATGTGAGCTTAAAATATTATTAGAAATGGATTAGCAATACAAAGTGAATTTAAATTCTCATGAGATAGAATCATAGAAATATAAGATTCTAACTAGTATTTTATTACGTATATAGATTTTGCTGAAACACAACATCAAGCTTTGAAAGGAATAAGTGTGAACGTATCAGGTAAAGGGTGGGCTATATAGTAAGGATTACATCATAAACTTGTTTGACCTTATTTGTTGAATTTTTCTAAATTTGTTATGATTGATAATTGTGATTTCATTATATGCTTGGT